TCTGACGTGGGTCACCCAGAGACCTAACTGAACCGGAAACATAGTAGTTCAGGGTCCCACCTCCCAGCCCTGGGTGACAACCAGTTTTCAAGGATATTTTTCACTTTACTGTTAGCCTGAGGCACAGTCCTAGGAGGAGCCCTCATCGTGAGGGCCATGGAATCCAAAACTGCAATATTATAAATAGCAGTATTTCAAAGTCCTTATAACCATCAATCCTTTGACAAACACTCTTTAACACACTAGGAGTGCGCACTGTGTTTCTCACACTACAGATTAGCAAACTGAGGTCCAGAGAGCATACGTTCTGCAGGGAGTCCCACAGCTGTAAAAGAGAAAGTCTTGAAACAGTAGAGTAACGCCGAGTCTGCCAAGATCACGGCTTAAATGGCATGCATTAGAGTTTAAGGAGTGAGTGAGGAACTGGAAGGCCGGACTACACAGCCCACCCAGAGCCCACTGCCTCTGCCTGAGGCGGGCAGGATGTGGACGTGATGCCCTGCACGACACCCTCTGCTCACCCCTGAGAGCAGCCTTCGAGGAACTCCGTCTCCACCCTTCCCTGGCATCCCAAGAGCAGCGCGCCACGCGCGCCGGAGGAGAACCCGGAGAGTGGGTTTGGACCCTCTGAGCTTTGGATCCTGCCGCCGCGCGACAAGGCGGAGCCAGTTCAGGCTCTCGGCAGCAGACGAACCACCCAGGTCGGAGGGATAGGTACCTTTCGGAGGAAGCAGGCGACCACCTGTTCGAAGGGGTACTGGAACACCTGGTGAACGTCTACGGTGACCCCCATATCGCACAACCGCCTGTAGGCGCCTCGCCGAGCTACGGCCACACCCCGTGGCCAAGGGGGCGTGCACTTTCTCTCCCCTTTTCAAACTTCTCAAACTTTATTGTCCTCCTCGGAGACAGGCTATAGGTCACACTCACGTCCCTTTTCATTTGTGCCTTATAAAGATATCGCCGGAGACGCCCGAGACCCCAGCGATCAGGAAGCCGGTCTCAGTTCATGTCCCTCTCTGGCCACGCCTGCAGATCTTGCCGTGCCTCTGAGCCACCCTGTTACACCCTGCAATCATGAGCTTTGCAGCCAGAATTTTAAGTCATCACTGCCGGAGGTCACAAAATTAACCTCTGTTGACAGAACCAAATAGAAATATGGTGTAATAAATAGGTAAGTCTCCGCCCTGAAACTGGGTGTGTGCCGTGTTACAGCCCGGCTCAGCTAAATCCGGCGAGACAAAGGCCAGGGACTGCACGCTTCCCTAATCTGGAAGGCTGCCTGAGGCATGGGGCTGGGCTCCTGAAGAAACTGCCCTTCTCCCAGAACACTCTAGGAAATAGAGTCGGCCTATGCAACAAGCAAGAAAGGGGATACAGAAGAAATGTTTTCTTTACTCCCAACAGCAGTTGTTAGTAAAAGAAGCAAATGTTATATTTATTCGCCAAGTCATTCACCTGTCTCTGTAGACTCAGCAGCGAATTCAACCTGTCCCTGCTGTTGGGTAAAATTAATGAGGCGTGGAATTTGACACCCACTCAATAATGTAGGCAAATAAAGTCCCACGGACATGTTGGTGCTAGGTTGAACAGGAACGTTCCCTGAGCTGCTGACTGCACAGCTGCCTGGGCTATCCCGAGTCAGTCTGGGAGACAAACCCTGTTGTCTGAACTCAAAACCATCAACCTCAGGGCGCCCCGCTTTTTCTTCCATTGCCCCCTGCCTTGGGTGGTTGTTGCTGGTGGTGGTGGTGGTGTTTGGTTGTGTGTGTGTTTTGTTGGGCTTTTCTCCCCCCCCCACCTTTTTTAAGGGGGGGTCACAGATACAACCTTGCTATGTTAGTGGGTTGCCTTGAATTTCTGCTTCTTCTGCCTGCACCTCCAGAGGAATTATAGGATGTGTTTACAGATATACACCAGCATACTCAACTTTTGATGTGGTGCTGGGGATTGGGCTCAGGGCACTCTTCCAACTAAGTTATACGCCCTCGGCCCCTTCAAGGGACCTTTGGTTGGTGTCAGAATATCTCCAATCTACTTGTTCTGTCACCCTCGAGATTGTCTCCTACACTGCCCGGTTCCCAGGCCATAGCCTGGATGTCCTCCTCACTCAGTAATAAACATTTCACCTCTGTCCTTGTGGGTGAATTCTCCACACTTAGTTTAGAGACAGTCTGTCAGCCTGAGCTTTCAAATCCATGCTGGACAGACAAATACTTAACAAGCCACCCTCCCTTGTAAGGCAAATAGAACAGAGACCTTTCTTCTCTAAGTTGCCAATTCTTGTGATGAGAATACTACTGTGTTATACACTAATCTCACTGCAGAGCTGGGAATAGAGCACAAGGCCAGCAGGATGTCTCCACCATCCACATAGGGGTAGTGAAAGATAACCTCAATATAGATAATGGGTAAAGGAACATTATGAAGAAGTGATGCATCAGGCCGGCCGTTGGTGACACATGCCTTTAATCCCAGCACTCTGTGAGTTCGAGACCAGCCTAGTCTACAAGAACTAGTTCTAGAACAGCCGCCAAAAACAGTCTCTAAAAACCAAAAAAAAAAAAAAAAAAAAAAAAAAAGAAATGATGCATCAGGCTGGGTGATGGAGGTGCTCACCTTTAATCCCAGCACTTAGTATGCAAGGCCGGTGGGTCTCTGTGAGTTTGTGAGTTCAAGGTCAATCTGGTCTACTGAGTTCCGGGAAAGCCAGGGTTACACAGAGAAACTCTGTCTCAAAAACAAACTCTCTCTCTCCCTCTCTCTCATATCTCATACATCCTGAGGGCATCCCTCTAGAATGGCCCTCCTCTTTACTGTATCATCAGCATCCATACCTACAAGATAATTACAGGCAGCACACAAGAACACGTGATTTCTTCCACCCTAAAACAAAACAAGTCAGGTGGTGGTGGTGGTGGTGGTGGTGGTGGTGGTGGTGGTGGTGGTGGTGGTGGTGGTAGTGCAGCCTTTAATCCTATCACTCGGGAGGCAGAGGCAGGCAAATCTCTGTGAGTTCAAGGCCAGTCATGTCTACAGAATGAGTGCCAGGATAGGTTCCAAAGCTACACAGAGAAACCCTGTCTCAAAAAAAAAAAAAAAAGGCACCATTAACTCCCTGTATCCCTCCAGACAGCTCCTCTCCAACTTTACTCCTCAGGAAAGAGGTCTATAATGGCCTGAACCATTCTTACTGCTTTGTCCCCCACCACTCCACTCAAACTACATTTGTCAAATTCCCAGTGACGAAATGGCTACATGCCATAATTAAGTCTCTGTGGTCTATGTTAAAATTCAAAACAATTCCTTCGTATTCCAGTTGAATATCTTGTGTAACAAGGACATAATAATTGTGTCTCTTCTTAATTTTTTATTATATATGTTCATTATGCATAGTATTGTATAGCATTTCATACAAGGATGCATCATACATTGAGCAGACCCTCCATACCCCTTGACCTCTCCATTTCCCCTAACCCTCTCTTATTAGTCCCCTTTATCCTCCTAGCCTACTTCATTTCTACTTTCTTGTTTGTTTGTTTGCTTTTGTTTTCAAGGCAGGGTTTCTCTGTATAGCCTTGGATGTCCTGGAACTCGATTTCCAGACTAGGCTGGCCTGTGGTGATGTATTATTTATGATTTATTACAGCTTGCCTGAGGATTCAGAAAGCAAAGTCAGCCTCAAACTGTAGAGATCAGTCAGTGGTGGTATACACTTTTAATCCCAGGACTCAAGATTAACAGGTAGATGGGATCTCTGTTACCTAAAGGCTATCAAGGCCTACACAAGAGTGAACAGTAACAGAGATCATGCCTTTGACCACAGAAACTGGGATCATACACCTTTAATCCCAGCATTAGTAGGTATATAAGACAGGAGCAAGGTCCCAGAGCTGGCATTCAGTCTTAGGACTCTCTAGTCACATTAAAGAGAGCGAGCATAGCAGTCTGGGATTACATTTCAGTCTAAGATAAAGGTAAGAGCTAGTGGCCAGCTACTTTGCTTTTCTGATCTTCAGTTTGAAGTCTGAACCCCAATATCAGTCTCTGGGTCATTTATTTAATGTGGTACACTGGCTGAGAATTCAGATTCACTTGCCTCTGCCTCCTGAGTGCTGAAGTTAAAGGTGTGCACCACCACCATCCAGCTATTTCTACTTTCTTTGTTGCTGATGACTTTTTTTATTTGATAATTTCATGCAAGTATATATTTTAATCGTTTCACCACTGATGACTATCTTTTCCCTCCAACTCTCACATAATTCTTCCTTCTCACTTTCAACTGTTATGTTTGTCAGGTGTGTGTGTGTGTCTGACTGAATCTAATTAGGGTTACTGCTGTGGCCTTAGACAACCCAAAAGCAACTACGTCACTGAAGAAAATGACTAGCCCCATCCCCCAGAAACTTAACTACCAATATCTCCTCATGGGGGAGGAGGGACTCACCTCCATCCCTCCTCTATTCATGATGGAATGTCAATAGTCACAGTCTTGAGAAGGTCTTATGCAAATACCAAAGCTTCTTTTAATTTGTGAGTGCAATAGCCATGCTGTGTCCAGAAAACTTCCACAGAATTCTTCACCATTCTTTGGTTCTTACATTCTTTCTTCCATTTCTTCCTGAACATAAATATATACATATATATATATATATATATATATATATATATATATATATATATATATATATAATGTCTAGCTGGGCGGTGGTGACGCATGCCCTTAATCCTAGCACTCGAGAGGCAGAGGCAGGTGGATCTCTGTGAGTTCAAGACCAAGCCTGGTCTACCGATCGAGTTCCAGGACAGGCTCCAAAACAATACAGAGAAACCCTGTCTTGAAAAAAAAAGTCTAATTAAGTCTGAACACTCAAGATTCATTTATTCTAAGCACATTGACCAGTTGTGAGTCACCCACTGCAAAAAAAAAGCTTCTCCGACCAAAGCTGGAATCAGCACTAATCTCTGATTATAAATAGATATCTAGGAAGCAGCTTGACACCAGATTCATTTAGCAAAACAACAGCAGTAACTTTCTCACTGGGGCCATGACTTCCCCAACCATATCTTTTGGCCAGGTTTACGGAACCAGGAACGATTTCCCTCCTATGAACAGGCCTCAATTATAATCAGAAAGCAGTTGGTTATCCCCATAATACTCATGACACTATTACACCAGTGGGCACAACTGTATCTTATGGGGTGCACAGCTGGGTATATTGGTTGATGACTTTTCACCACCAGTAGTTTACATAATGTAACACCTTCCAACACTACAAAAGCTAGCCAGCAGAGAAGGAGCTTCCAACTTAGATCAATCTTGATTTCTTATTTCCTACAATCACTATACTTTCATGATTTATAGACATACACTAGTTTATAAGTTTATACAAAATCTGGGCACCACATGAGAGAAGACATATGTATCTTTCTAATACTGGATCAACTCACTTCTCACAGTTATCTCCTAGTGCATCCATTTTCCTACAAACAACACAACTGCATTCTTCATTATAGTTGGAAAAAATTTCATCATCTAAATACACCAAATTTTTCTTATCCATCCCTCTGTTGATGTTCACCTAGGTCGGTTCCATAGCTTAGCTATTGTGGAAACTGCTACAAAAGACACTGATGTGTAAATACCTCTGTAGTGTATTGACTTGAAGTCTTGGAGTAAATTCCCAGTAGTGGCAGGTCTATTTATTAGTTTTTGAAGAACCTCCATTCTAATTTCCATTGTGGATAGACTGAAACACACACATACACACACACAAAGAAACGGTGGTTAATTTTTAAGCCCTGTGTTACATAACTTCCTGAGGACACATGAACAAACATTTGTTCACTTCATGTGGTGCACCAACAAAAGACCAAATGCCAGAATAAGTAAACAGTTCCACCAAGACCAGCCTGGCGAACCAATTGGTGTATTGCAGCATGAATTGACTCAAAGGTAGCTGCATCACTAAAAATCCCACTCGTAGTTGGTGACACTCCCAGAAGCTCCATCCCTGGCACTTTTTCGGCAGGTAGCAGGCAGCTCCCCTGAAGAGTCTTCTTTCGCTTTGCAATGCCTGCTGCCCGTGTGACCTGGAGACACATCCTGTGAGTCCAGCAACTTTCTGAGATTCTTGAAGCCTGTAAGTTTCATTGCTTCCAGAATCTTATCGCCCTCTCTGTAAAGCAGAAGATTTCATTTTAGAGAAAATAGCTACAGAAGCCCCACCTTACTAAACCGATAAGCAGCATTTCTTTGAAATGTTGAGTGATGAGTGGGCCAGGTGCCATAGCTCCTGCTTGCCATGAGTCTCTGTGGGAGAACTTCCTTACACAGGGGTAAAAACATCTCCTAGCATGCCTAACAGGGGTAAAAACATCTCCTAGCATGCCTATTATCCCAGAATTTGGAAAGTGGAAACAGGAAGATAAAGTGTTCAAAACCAGCCTGGACTACATAATACTGACTCAAAAAAAATTGAAAATATGTCTCTTGGGAGCCTTCACAGACCCACGAAGCAGAAATAATTTGTGTGAAAGAGTGTATTTTATTGTTATATTCTTGAGAATGATACCCCCAAAACATGGTAGGTTTGGGCATGGTGAGCAGTTTTACTGAAGGAAAGGAAAAGACCTTACCAGTAGGCTCAGAACCTCATCTTGCCTCTTCCCAGAAGGGCAGGAAAAGGCTTTCTGTTTAGTTCCTTTATCAGCAAAAGTTTGGAGCCACTGAAGATAACAGGGTTACCTCTGGTCTCTGCCATGAGTTTTCATTAACTGAACTCATAGAGCAGGAAAAAAAATACTGACTTAGAAATACAGTCTGACACCTTTTCCTCACATGTCATTGTCTTCTGTTTCAGTCTTACACAATGTCCAAAAAAGAATCTTTTTTAATCTACTGTCTGTCTGCTGTCTGTTCTGTAGGCACAGTGGCCTTTAATTCTGGCCATGTGTGTTCCTCTAGGCTCATTCAGTTCTCTTTGTCAACCATTACTGAGCCTAAAATCCCCTGTCTGCCTTACTTGTTGCTTCCCTCACTGCCCTGTGGAATAGGAATATATGAGTTTCTGAATCCTGCTGGGATGGGGTTATTTCCACTCCTGTGATTTTTCTCCTTTTCATGTTAGTATATTTATGTACCTTTTCTTCTTTTTATCTTCCTGGTATGAGTTCATTTTGAGAGATCTTCAAAGGATAGAGGGTAAAGTTCCAACAGCCCTTGCAATATTCCTGTCTGCTTCTGTTACTACAGAATGGGCGCCTTGGGTCCCCAGGCTCCTCTACCAGTTTCTCTCAGAATGTGTCCTTAGGCAGCTGCTCACCAACCTCAAAGTGACCACTAAAGGCCAAAAGTGTATTCTGAAGGGTTAAAAAACCCAGCTCTTGCTGGCAGTGCGTGAGGTTGATTGGCTAAATGACTGGTCTAAAAGCAAATGTCACCTGCCCCTTTCAAGGGCATCGAAACAGTCTGAAGATAAAAACGCATGCCAAGCTAAACAGCATAAGGCCTGTGGCCATGTGACTTAGAGTCACTGCCAGCCTGAATACTTGAAATCTTCATTGCTGAGTATGTCTCCCAAGGAAGAATAAAGGACTATGAGAGCAATTTATTTCCTAACTTAAAAACCTGTTGGTGTCTTACTTTTATATTGCCATGACAAAACACCACAGCCAAGACAACTTATGAAAGAAAGCATCTAAATTGGAGACTCACAGTTCCAGAGGGTTAGAGTCCATGATCATCATGATGGGGAGCATGGCAGCAGGCAGACATGGGGCTGAAGCAGTAGCTAAGAGCTAATATCTGATCTACACTAAGTATGTGCAGAGAAATAACTGACTTGGAATGGCATGAAATTTTGAAACTTCAAAACCTACCCTCAGTTAAATATCTCTTCCAATGGGTCATACCTCCTAATCCTTTTCAAATAGTTCTACCAACTGAAGACCAAGCAAACATGTGAGCTTAAAGGCTACTCTCATCCAAACCACCATACTTGGTCAGCCTTCTGTGGTCTTTGTGACATCGCATCGCTCACCAAGGAGCTTTTGTGAGGTACTAAACTCCCTTTCTCTTTCTTCCCCAAGGTTCATCTTTCTCAGTTTTAATTGAGATTTCCAGTGAGAAGGTTTAACAATTACGTTTGGGTTTGCCCCAGCCATGTAAGTGAGATTTCCAGTGAGTCTCTCATGAGAGAGAGAAACAAGAGAAAGCAAGTCCTTAATTCTTCAAAATTTTGGAGTTCCTAGTCCTAGATAGCTTCCAAGGTCTTCTAACTTGGGACCATAGTAGAGTACAGAGATGAGCAATGGCAGGATTCTATTTCTATTTTGAAGGAAGAGATAGCCTGATGGGTGAAAGGTGAGAAGTCAGACGAAAGAAGAAAAAGTGATTCTGGCCATTGCCTGGAAAAAGATCACCTGTGTATGGTAGGAATCAGTATTTGTACCAATATTCTGAGGATGCTATAAATTCCATATACAGACTGACTTGAACAGCAGAAATGTGTTATGTGTTTTCTTATACCTAAGACATCCAGGAGTTAGAAATAAAGGTATCATCAGAAGAGCAGAGTATCCCATGTCTCCCCTGGTTCCCAGAAGCTCCACACAGTCGTTTCCAGTGGATGATGTTCTCCTTACAGCTTAACGTACCTTCCCTTTATGCAAAGACTTTTGTGTCTACATTTTCATAAGGATGTCACCTATATTAAATCAAAACTAGCTGGGTCTTGGTGCACAGCATTCAGAAGGCTCTGGGTTCAATCCTTAGGACCACAAAATTCTCTGGAGGAGAAGGGCTATCCTAATGACTTGGTGATGTCAACTGTTACAGACTGCACTGTATTGCTACAAAATGCCTGTGGGAAGTCCAACCCTTCTATAACTAACCTGTCCATTTATTTAAAGTACTTGGGCTAGAATCCAGGATCTCACACAGACTATGGACACACTCTACCACTGAGTTATAACCCTGGTGATATAACTGTACTTTGAGATAGGGGTTTTTGAAAAATATTTAAATTAAAATAATGTTTGTTATAAAGTTAAGTCCTAATCCAATATGACTGTGGCATTAGAAGAGGAAGAGACAAGTGAAGACAGAGGGAGAACGGTCATTCAAGTCATGGAGAACTCAGTCTCTGACAGCCCCATCTCAGACTCAGGGCCTCCAGAGCACTGAGAAACACACTTATGTTGTTTAATCCTCCCACTATACTTTGTTCCGATCCTGGCAAACCAAGTTGCCCGCTGAGAGCTTCCTTCCTAATGAGATCAGATCAGGGGTACTGTAGCTGGAATGTCAATTCATTTTTAGAGAACACACCTTAATGCCACAATGCCAGGCATGGACTAGCAGAGATGGAAGACAGAAGAGATCCTGGTGGTACTGAACTACATCTCTATTCGCTAATCCTTTTGTGTAGTCTCTCCTGGTATTCTCTGTGCTTCAATAAGATCCTTTCATTAAATCTTCCCATTAGTACTTAATTTGACAACTAAGACTCCTACCCAATAGGATGCAGGAGGACAAAATAAGCCACCATGAGTTTATGTGCTAAAAGAAAGAAAGCAAACACTTTATTGTCCAGTCTATTTTCCACCCCAAGAGCAGCCCAGCTCCTGAGACCTTGAAAGTCAAGCTGCCATTCACACTTACTATGGTTTCACCTTGATTTTTGAAAAATCCAAAAGGAAATTTATTCATTTTGTTTGGTAAAATTGTATCCTTAAAAGGCCAACCATCTCACACCATTAGTGGCATTTTTAAAAGCCTCTATTTAAGTAACTTCTTGTCTGAGAAGATGGGTTTTAAAAGACTGATCTCATACCAGACTGAAGGCCAGAAATTACCGAAGTACATCTGCAGCCACACAACATAAAACAATAAGGACCAAACTCTGAAAGCAGAGCTGGGGAGACGAATCAGTGGGTCAAGTCCTAGCCGTGTAAGCATGGGGACCTCAGTGTGAATCTCCAAAACACATACAAAGCCAGGTGCAGTAACACTCCTCTGTAATCCCAGCATTCCTGTGACAAGATGGGAGACAGAAACAGGAGAACCTCGGAAAGCTCGAGAGCCCGTTATCCCATTGTACAGAGCACAGTGGCAAACAGCAGAGAGACCCTGGAAGTGAAAGGTGAGAACTTACATCTGAGGGTGACCTCTGACCTCCACATGCTCACCATAGAACATATGCCCATGCTCACATAAATGCATGTGTGCACTCATATGCTCTCACACACACACACACACACACACACACACACACAGAGGCGGGGGGGGGGGGTACAGGAGGCCCAGGGTTGGGCGATGAATTTAAAACAAAAGAAACAACAACAAAAAAAGGTAAAAAAGGTAACTATATACACACTATATCAAGTTTCATGTGATTTTTGTTCTTGATGCTGGGGATTAATCCAGAAGCTTCAAACATGCTAAGCCCATGGCTAACCCATGAGTTCCCCCACAACATAACTCTTTAATGTGAGTAACCTCAAGAAATCTTTCCTTGGTACTGACAAAATGGTTCAGTAATTAAAAACACCTACCACATAAATGTGTGACATGAGGCCCATCCCGACCCCACCTCAGGGTGGAAGGTGACAAGTGACTTTACAAAGGTATCCTCTGATCTCCACATTTGCACATGGCAACCTCATGCCCCCCAAAAACAACAATAACAATAAAGCTTTTTTTTAAAAAAGAAGTCCTTTTTCTTCCTGTGTCTGTGAGAACATATTTTTGCAGTGCTGGATATAAAAACTTAACACGCATACCACCATTGAACTGCACCCCTAGGTTCCAAGTTATTTCCTATGGGAAGTGGGATATGATAAACAGAGAGGGTCCTGAAGGGTGGAATGGGTGGACGAATGGGAGAGAATGGAAGAGACACAGTGACCAACCACAAGGAGCCCCAGAGCAGAGGAAGAATAATTGAACTAATTTAAAACAGTAGCTTTAGCTAATCATTTTTTTCTCAAAGGACTGATGAGATTGAATACAACAGTAATGTTATGACCTGATGAAGTGCCTACCACCCAAGAATAATGACAGCTAGCCAACCGTGTCTGTCCCTAAGCCCTGGTGCTACACAAAAGCTGTCACATATACAGGTCATCTGCAACAGTCAGAGGAGATACGTGTTTATCTTTAGATTGGTTTCCCTAG